TTTTTATTGTTATGTTAATCCCCATACATTACATGATTAGTTTTAGATGTAGTGTTCCATGATTCATTGTTTGTGCATAACACCCAGTGCTCCATACAGAATGTGCCCTGCTGAATACCCATCACCAGGCTAACCCATCCTCCCACCCCCCTCCCCTCTAGAACCCTCAGTTTGTTTTTCAGAGTCCATCGTCTCTCATGGTTCGTCTACCCCTCCGATTTCCTCCCCTTCATTCTTCCTCTCCTGCTATCTTCTTCGTCTTCTTCTTTTTTTTTCTTAACATATATTGCATTATTTGTTTCAGAGGTACAGATCTGAGATTGAACAGTCTTGCACAATTCACAGCGCTTACCAGAGCACATACCCTCCCCATTGTCTATCACCCAGTCACCCCATCCCTCCCACACCACCCCCCACTCCAGCAACCCTCAGTTTGTTTCCTGAGATTAAGAATTCCTCATATCAGTGAGGTCATATGATACATGTCTTTCTCTGTTTGACTTATTTCGCTCAGCATAATACCCTCCAGTTCCATCCACGTTGTTGCAAATGGCAAGATCTCATTCCTTTTGATGGCTGCATAATATTCCATTGTATATATATACCACCTCTTCTTTATCCATTCATCTGTCGATGGACATCTTGGCTCTTTCACAGTTTGGCTATTGTGGACATTGCTGCTATAAACATCGGGGTGCACGTACCCTTTCGGATCCCTACTTCTGTATCTTTGGGGTAAATACCCAGTAGTGAAATTACTGGATCATATGGTAGCTCTATTTTCAACTTTTTGAGGAACCTCCATACTGTTTTCCAGAGTGGCTGTACCAGCTTGCATTCCCAACAACAGTGTAGGAGGGTTCCCCTTTCTCCGCATCCCCACCAACATCTGTCATTTCCTGACTTGTTAATTTTAGCCATTCTGACTGGTGTGAGGTGAGATCTCATTGAGGTTTGGATTTGGATTTCCCTGATGCCGAGTGATGTTGAGCACTTTTTCATGTGTCTGTTGGCCATTTGGATGTCTTCTTTGGAAAAATGTCTGTTCATGTCTTCTGCCCATTTCTTGATTGGATTTTTTGTTCTTTGGGTGTTGAGTTTGATAAGTTCTTTTTTTTTTTTTTTAAGATTTTATTTATTTATTTGACAGAGAGAGACAGCGAGAGAGGGAACACAAGCAGGGGGAGTAGGAGAGGGAGAAGCAGGCTTCCCCGCAGAGCAGGGAGCCCGATGTGGGGCTCGATCCCAGGACCCTGGGATCACGACCCGAGCCGAAGGCAGACACTTAACAACTGAGCCACCCAGGCGCCCCGATAAGTTCTTTATAGATTTTGGATATAGCCCTTTACCTGATATGTCATTTGCAAATATCTTCTCCCATTCTGATGGTTGTCTTTTGGTTTTGTTGACTGTTTCCTTTGCTTTGCAAAAGCTTTTTATCTTAATGAAGTCCCAATAGTTCATTTTTGCCCTTGCTTCCCTTGCCTTTGGCAGTGTTTCTAGGAAGAAGTTGCTGCGGCTGAGGTCGAAGAGGTTGCTGCTTGTGTTCTCTTTTAGGATTTTGATGGACTCCTGTCTCACATTGAGGTCTTTCAACCATTTGGAGTCTATTTTTGTGTGTGGTGTAAGGAAATGATCCAGTTTCATTCTTCTGCATGTGGCTGTCCAATTTTCCCAACACCATTTGTTGAAGAGACTGTCTTTTTTCCACTGGACATTCTTTCCTGCTTTGTTGAAGATTAGTTGGCCATAGAGTTGAGGGTCCATTTCTGGGCTCTCTATTCTGTTCCATTGATCTATGTGTCTGTTTTTATGCCAGTACCATACTGTCTTGATGATGACAGCTTTGTAATAGATACAGCATCCTTTCTTGATCAAAACTTTCAGAGTATAGGCATAGAGGGTACATACCTCAATATCATAAAACCCATCTATGAAAAACCTACAGTGAAAATCATTCTCAATGGGGAAAAACTGAGAGCTTTCCCTCTAAGGTCAGGAACGTGGCAGGGATGTCCACTCTCACCACTGCTATTCAACATAGTATTAGAAGTCCTAGCCACAGCAATCAGACAACAAAAAGAAAAAAAAGTCATCCAAATTGGCAAAAAAGAAGTCAAACTCTCACTCTTTGCAGATGATATGATACTTTATGTGGAAAACCCAAAAGAGTCCACCCCAAAACTGCTAGAACTCATATAGGAATTCAGTAAAGTGGCAGGATATAAAATCAATGCACAGAAATCAGTGGCATTCCTATACACCACCAACAAGAGAGAATAAAGAGAAATTAAGGAGTCGATCCCATTTACAATTGCACCCAAAACCATAAGATACCTAGGAATAAATCTAACCAAAGATGCAAGGAATCTGTACTCAGAAAACTATAAAATACTCATGAAAGAAATTAAGGAAGACACAAAGAAATGGAAAAACGTTCCATGCTCATGGATTGGAAGAACAAATATTGTGAAGATGTCAATGCTACCTAGAGCAATCTACACATTCAATGCAATCCCCATCAAAATACCATCCACTTTTTTCAAAGAAATGGAACAAATCATCTTAAATTTGTATGGAACCAGAAAAGACCCTGAATAGCCAGAGGAATGTTGAAAAAGAAAAGCAAAGCTGGCGGCATCACAATTCCGGACTTCAAGCTCTATTACAAAGCTGTCATCATCAAGACAGTATGGTTCTGGCACAAAAACAGACACATAGATCAATGGAACAGAATAGAAAGCCCAGAAATAGACCCTCAACTCTATGGTCAACTCATCTTCAACAAAGCAGGAAAGAATGTCCAATGGAAGTCATTTCAACAAATGGTGTTGGGAAAATTGGACAGCCACATACAGAGGAATGAAACTGGACCATTTCCATACACCACACACAAAAATAGACCCCAAATGGTTGAAGGACCTCAATGTGAGACAGGAGTCCATCAAAATCCTAAAGGAGAACACAGGCAGCATCCTCTTCGACCTCAGCCGCAGCAACTTCTTCCTAGAAACACCACCAAAGGCAAGGGAAGCAAGGGCAAAAATGAACTATTGGGACTTCATCAAGATAAAAAGCTTTTGCACAGCAAAAGAAACAGTCAACAAAACCAAAAGACAACCATCAGAATGGGAGAAGATATTTGCAAGTGACATATCAGGTAAAGGGCTAATATCCAAAATCTATAAAGAACTTCTTAAGCTCAACACCCAAAGAACAAATGATCCAATCAAGAAATGGGCAGAAGACATGAACAGACATTTTTCCAAAGAAGACATCCAAATGGCCAACAGACATTTGAAAAAGTGCTCAACATCACTTGGCATCAGGGAAATCCAAATCCAAACCTCAATGAGATCTCACCTCACACCAGTCAAAATGGCTAAAATTAACAAGTCAGGAAATGACAGATGTTGGTGGGGATGTGGAGAAAGGGGAACCCTCCTACACTGTTGGTGGGAATGCAAGCTGGTGCAGCCACTCTGGAAAACAGTATGGAGGTTCTTCAAAAAGTTGAAAATAGAGCTACGTTATGATCCAGTAATTGCACTACTGGGTATTTACCCCAAAGATACAAATGTAGGGATCCGAAGGGGTACATGCACCCTGGTGTTTATAGCAGCAATGTCCACAATAGCCGAACTGTGGAAAGAGCCAAGATGTCCATCGACAGATGAATGGATAAAGAAGAGGTGGTATCTATATTCAATGGAATATTATGCAGCCATCAAAAAGAATGAGATCTTGCCATTTGCAACAACATGATGGAACTGGAGGGTGTTATGCTGGGCAAAATAAGTCAAACAGAGAAAGACATGTATCATATGACCTCACTGATATGAGGAATTCTTAATCTCAGGAAACAAACTGAGGGTTGCTGGAGTGGTGGGGGATGGGAGGGATGGGGTGGCTGGGTGAAAGACATTGGGGAGGGTATGTGTTATGGTGAGCACTGTGAATTGTGCAAGACTGTTGAATCTCAGATCTGTACCTCTGAAGCAAATAATACATTATATGTTAAAAAAAGAAGAAGAAGAAGAAGATAGCAGGGGGGAAGAATGAAGGGGGGGAAATCAGAGGGAGAGATGAACCATGAGAGACTATGGACTTTGAAAAACAAAATGAAGGTTCTAGAGGGGAGGGGGGTGGGAGGATAGGTTAGCCTGGTGATGGGTATTAAAGTGGGCACGTTGTGCGTGGAGCACCGGGTGTTATAGGCAAACAATGAATCATGGAACACTATATCAAAAACTAATGATGTAATGTGTTGGGATTAACATAACATAATAAAAAATTCAAGGTGGGCACTTGGGTAACTCAGTTGATTAAACATTTGCCTTTGGCTCATGTCATGATCCCAGGGTCCTGGGATGGAGACCAGCCTTGGACTCCCAGCTCAGCAGGGTATCTGCTTCTCCCTCTCCCTCTGTCTGCCACTCCCCCTGCGTGTGCTCTCTCTCTTTCTCTCTCTCATAAAAAATTAATAAATAAAATCATTTAAAAAAAAAAAAAAGCTTCCAGGCACTTGAGTGGCTCAGTTGGTTAAGCATCTGCCTTCGGCTCAGGTCATAATCCTGGAGTCCCCAGATCAAGTTCTGCATCGGGGTCCCTGCTCAGTGGGGAGTCTGCTTCTCCCTCTGCCCCTCACCTGGCTTGTGTTCTCTCTCTCTATCAAATAAGTAAGTAAGTAAATAAATAAATCTAAAAAAATAAAATTCTTCAAGGCATGAAAAATGCTTGAATCAATAACCTGCATAATAAGATATATTATTATATTAGGGTGGCTATACCTAGTCCCTTGTACATCCATTCTTTATGTTTTGGTCGTCTAGACTGACAGCATCCTCAGTGGCTACTATCTGCCCTGGGGCCTGGAATGCTGGGGCCCCATAGCCATGCCCACTGCATTCTGTGTGTTAGTCCTCTCTGACCGCTGCTCTTTGCCATAATTTTATCCACCCTCTTTTAATTAAGACGTTTCTCTGTCCTCTAATTTTTAGGGATCATATGATTCTTGTTGCTATCAGAGAGAAAAATTCAGTAATGGATTCCTACTATGAGCCCTGGCCAACCAAGAACTACATGAGTGAGCAATGAGGTCAATGGGGACAGAGGAGCTGAGGATGTTGTATGTATTATGAGCACACCTGTGAAAGGCTCAACGTCCTCAAAACTAAAAACCCATCAGGCAGCAGGTGAGTGGCAACAAGGATACCTGTCAACGTATTCACTCTCATGATTCCAGAAGTGCCTGAGAAAATATTTTGCAGTACAAGGCAACATTTGCTGTGGACTGAGACCAGATAGGGCATGCAGAGACAGGATTGTCACAGACAGTTGCTGATTCCCAAAATATCTCAGAAGGTGAACACTCTCAAAGCAGGGAGAGGAGGTGAACAGTGAGTCAGCCAAGGGGAGGAACATGGGTCCCGGCTCAGATCAGCCATGAGGTTTGGTCTCACTCCCCCTGCTGTCACACTGTGGGGAGGGAACCCGCTCCCACCACCGTGGTTTGTTGAACAGTTGGAGTCATTACATCTTCTTCCTGGATATTCGGAACGTTCAGCTCCCAGACTAGGTCAGAGCTGGATGTGAGAAGCACTGATTATGGAGGGAAAGTCCTAGAAATGATACAGTGGAGGAGAGGAGAGAAGGGCAGGAGGGCTTCTGTCTGAACAGGAGGCATCTATCCCTGGGATATGTGGACTGGGGGTTCTTCTGTAATCCAAAGACTTTAGTTCTTTCTGTCAGGGACTTCTCTTCAGTTCTTCTCTGCAGATCACTTCCTTCTTATGCCATTCTCCATGATTTAGAAATGCAGAATCTCAGGCCCCTCTCCAGACTCAGAGGAATCCGAATCCAAATTTTACACGATTCCAGATGATTCATATGCACATTGAAGTGTGAGACTAACTGATCTAACACATGTAGGAAGGCCACACTTTGTTTTTGGTGACTCACTGCTTTTCACGTTTTAATCAATTCTGTTTTCCAATCAGCCTCTCCAGGACATGAACTCTCTGTTTTACCATTTTGTGCATTTTATGTCCAGAGTACTCTACACAGGGTTTCCCACTGAAGGTGGTAGGCATCTCCCTCTTCTCTGACTAGATCCAGATGCATTTTAATAAAAGCAAGATAATCTTCACAACTTCACAACTTCAGAGTCTTTAGCCCTGGTAATCAGTTGGAACCACCTAATGGCTACCTGTATTTTTAATGCAAGTTTTAAGGTATTATTAAGCAGTAATTGTATATTTATAGACTTTTAAGCTCAGGATAAATTACTTGTAGTACCTTTCCATGACACTAGCAGTGCTCAAAACATGAGCAAAAATATGAAATATCAGCAAAACTATGATAACAATTGTGTAACAATTAAAAACCCATTGGGAAGAAAGTGTTTAAATTCAGAAAGATATTGACTGTTTGATATATTAGGTTCCTAGGGCGGCCGTAACAAAGTAGCACAAATGAAGTGCTTCAATTAAAAGTTACTGTCTCACAGTTCTGGAGGCCAAAAGCTCCAGATCCATAGGGTGGGGCCATGTTCCCTCTGAAGCCTGTAGGGGAATCTTTCCCTGCCTCCCCTGACTTCTAGTGGTTTGAGGGCAATTTTTGGCATTTCCTGGGTGCATCTGCAAACTGCAGACTCTGCCTCCAGCTTCCCGCGGTGTGCTCCTTGTCTCTACGTGGCTGTCCTATTGTAAGTGCACACCTCATACTGGACTAGGAGGCCACCTTCCGCCAGAAGAGCCTCATCTTAACTAATTGCATCTATGACAACCCTATTTGCAGATCAGGTCGCATTCTTGGGTCTTGAGGGCTACAGCTGCAACATATGTTCTTTGGGAGGATGCAATTTATCCCAGAATATTAGGGAAAAAGAATCCTTCCAAAATGTTTATAATTTTTAATATTTAAAAGAAGTATAGATTTGTATCGCATTAAAATGCAACCTAATTTAAAATAAACGTTATGTTAATTATTTTAAAAATTTGGGGAGGTTTATTTATTTACTTAAATAATCTCTGCACCTAACGTGGGGCTTAAACTCAGACCTTAAAATCAAGCATCCCACCCTCTTCCGACTGAGCCAGGCAGGCGCACCGTGAAACTTTAGAAATATACTAAATGAGGGTTTCCTCTGTTCTTGGCTGTCAAGGAATATCGGAATTGTTCCTTTTTTCTGGAGGAAATGTGTTTTAGCTCAGGTTTTAGTTCTGATCCAGGCACATACAAATCCTTGCCTAATACAAAAGAACTGAAATCTGTTCTTTGTGGACCAGTTCCTCTCAAGACATTCATACATTTACTGCACTTCAGGACTCAAACAGGAATGGGAAGCAATTCAGACACTGAATCTCTGTGACTCTAAGGATGGTCAACATTTAGGCTGCCCTGAGAGCTCAGGTGTCTGGGCGTGGAATGCCAGCATTTGTACCCACACACTGTGAAACAAAAGTTTATGTCTTACTTCCTCATCTGGGTCTCTCACTGTGCTTACCATCACCATATTGTAGGAAGCAGTAGTACTCAGCCTCGTCCTAGGGCTGGGCCCCTGTGAGGGTCAGGACAGCCTTGCCCCCAAGGAGGGAGCCTGAGAATCGGGCAGGGGTCCAGGAATGTTTACTGTATGCATTATATATCAGTGTCCTAGGGGATTGGCCAGGCTTCTGCTGGAACCAAGCTGGATAGTGTAAATTGCTGACCGCTCCGTAGCTGGAGGCACATGTGAGAGAGACTGTCTCTCCTGGAGACACGGTGAGTGAGGGCTCCTGAGTCACCACAGCCTCAGAACTGGTCCCTGAAATGAAAACAGACCCGTGTTAGGAAATGAAGAATAGGCAGAGGGATCCCTCCAAAAGCTGGCCTCTGAAATCTCCATGAACCTGGGCAGTGGGTGAGGAGGGGGAGGAGGAGGAGTGGAGTCCAGGTCATGGTGTGGACTTTCCAGAGGTCCCCTGGCCTTACAGCTGGTGCTTGTCTCTGGGATGTGTCCTTTTATCTCCTCCTGAGCTCCAGGGGTAAAGGGTGTGTTTGGTGGGGTATTATGCAAATATGAGCCACAGTGCCATTTAATTCTGGCTCCTAGGCCCATCTTGTAGCTCAAATCCAAAAAGAAGGGCTGGGGAAGTTAAGAGCTCGGAGTTTGTCCCCTGGGAGGAAGCAGCTGCAGTCACCTTTCACTCAGGCAGTGAGCAAGGATGCAAGGCGCAGTCAGGTGGAACCATTTCAGTTGGTTTCAGGCCTTGGCAGCTCTGAGCAGGTGCACAGCGCCCCCTGGTGACATCCTCAGGAGACTACTCACGGGGGTGGGAATTCAGCAGGCATGCAGCCCATTTGTGCTTTCAACAAATACATAATAAATAGGTGTTACCTACTCTTGAGTCTCTCCAGAGAGTTTTCTTTTTCAGTTTCATCTGTTGTATTTTAAGTTCTATAATTTCAGTTTGGTGTGTTTTGATGACTTGCATTTCAATTGCATATTTCTGTCTTTTCCATTTATTCCAAGACTGTAGCTGCTCCTCAGATGGATTTTCTCGTTGTTGCCTGAAAATATCTGTCCCATAATGTCAGCATGTGAGTGATCTCAGTGTTGGTGGCAGTCGATTCTCCTTTCTCACTCAAGGTTTGATTTTCCTGGTTCTTGACAAGACAAGTGATCATTTTTACTGGATCCTGGATATTTTTGGATATTTATCAAGTAATGCTCGGTACCCAATTACCTTCCTTGAATCATCAGGTGATCCTCCCCTTGAGGATCAGCAGGAGGTCAGGGGCTGTATGTCAGTTTCCCAGTGGCCCCAGGGAAAGTGGAGCGCTCACTCCCACAGTTTTGCTGCTGACTCTTTGCTGGAGAAAGTGTGGCAAGAGAGTCACCTCCCAGTGCCCAACGTGGAGGTGGGTGGTGTTGTGGGATAAGCTCTGAGCTGGGCCCTGCTGACCCCAGAGAGGGATGCTTAGGCCTGAATGGAGGTGCAGAGTTTGCTCAGCAAACTCACTGGGCTCTGTGCCCTCACTGACACCAGGGAGGGGAGGGGTCAAATGCTGGGCCAGCTTCCCTGCCTTCCAGCCCCTTTTTCAGTGTGTTCGTGCCAGGTGGGAGTCCAGGGTCTGCTCTTTACTGGCCCCATAGTCACTAGCAGGGGTATAGGAGTGCAGACCAGCTCTGCCTTATAGCACCCCATTCAGTCTTCCTGCTGAGGGATGGGCTTCAGATGCGCTTCCCGGGACCTGCCAAAATCATGGGTGGGAAGAACTGGAATGCTAAAGTAGCCCACTGGCCCTGCCTTGCCCAGGCTTGTTGATGCTCCCGTGTGATGGAGGCTCAGCTTTCCACTGAGACCAATGACACTACACAAGGTGGGCAATGGGACATTGCCCTTTTCTGCTAGGAGGAGAGGGACACTTAGGTGTCTGCTCAGCACTGCTGTGAGCCTTGCATGAGGGCATAGTTTGGGGATTCATTAGTGTGTGCAGATGGGTGATGGGCAGGTTTGTCGAAATATTTTCTCTGCTCAGGTCAACTCATACCCAGATCCTCTGGCCATGGGGGTTGGCATTTTTGGAGTTTTGGTGGATTTTATTTTCTTTTTCCCATTCTGGCCCTCTTCGTGATTCTTGGTTGGAGGCTCCTGCAGCATCCTGTCTTACATGTTGGGGAGGTGATAGAAGAGAAGAAGCCCAGGGAACTCACTGCTGTGTTTTCCTCAACTGTTGAGGTCTGTAGGAAGTCTTCCTTCTTCCTTCTACCTTCTGGAGTTCCTATACTTGTTTGTATTTTGTCCAGAAACTTTTTGTTTTAAATGAGAGAACCTGGTTGATTGGGAGCACTTCCTCTTGGTCAGAACTGGGAATCCTGGTGGTGCCTGCTCTGAATGGTTTCCTCCAGTGGTAGGATGGTGGAGTTCCTGCTTAGCTCGTGCTGTGGAGGTGATTTATCATGATTCCTAAGCTATAGAAATAAAAGATAGGTAATTTGAATATTATTTTTACATTGTTCTTTACAGAATAATAAAAAGAAAATGTATTACATGACCAAGTGTTGGGTGTGAAAAGTTTTATAGGCAGTGCTGGGACTCAGTACAGCATAAATGTTGAGCTTTGGTCTCTTAAACATGGAGGAGAAAACAGGATATATTTTTATTCTTTTTCTCCCCCATGTGTTTGTGTGTTGAATTTTTTATTCTGTAATAATTTTACGGTGACAGAAAAAATACAAAGATAGTACAGAGATCCCTATATACCTTTCACCCAGATTATTCTAATGATAACATCATGCATGACTATGACATATTTATGAAAACAAGAACTGAATAGTGATCCAATGATATTAAGGAAATTGCAGACTTTATCCCGATTTCACAAGTTTTTGCCACTAATGTCATTCTTTGCTCCTGGATCCGGTCCAAGTAACCACACTGCATTTATTCATCATGACATACGGAAATCCTCCAATGTGTAAGGTTTTCAATCTTTCTTTGTTTTCTTGACCTTGGGAATTTTGCCTAACTGCCCATCCCCAACATCACATCTGAAGGCTCAGGTACCCAGCAAGGGATCCAGGTGAGTGCTGTGCCTGAAGTTCTTCTTTGACCTGCATCTTCACACAGCATCTCACATCCTAGTGCTTTGTCCCTGGACACAGTGAACCTCAGCCAGCCCTGAGCACAGGAGCCTGGGAGGGATAGGAGGGTCTCTGCTCTGACCCCCTGAATGGAAGAGGCCATGCTGTGGAGGGCTGTCCCCCTGCTGGGATGGTCCTCAGGCTCTGAGCAAGAAACCTAAAAAGGGTGGTTAGCTGTTTCAACAAACAAACAAACAAAATGCCAGCTCAACAGGCTCTGATTATTACAACTTGGACCACCAGGCAAAGTTTCTGTATTATCATGGGTTTTATGTTTGTTTTCCTTTCTCCTGAGTTCACATAGGTTGCATAAGAAGCTGGGAGGAAAGATATTGTGATCCAGAAGTTACTTCCAAGTACAGTCAGTGTGAATTCAAGTTATTTTAAATTGCAAGAGAATCAGCATCCACGGCCCTGAGCAGGCTGAGTTATTTGTCCCACTTCCCCATCTGTGTGTGTCCCTGTGACCACACTGCTGTGCCAGATCTGACAGTAATAATCGGTCCCCTTCTCAGCCTGCAGCCCCGAGATGAGCAGAGGCCCTGCATTGGCTGGGGCATCTTTGGATCCAGAGAAGTGGCTGGGGACACTGGAGCCCTGGTATTTATCTGAGTCTGAGGAGTAGTACAAGGGATACCAAGGAGGGCTCCCTGGCTTCTGCTGGTATCAGTTTTGTAGTAGCTCCCAACACTGATGTCCCTGCTCAGGGTACAGGCGAGTCTGGCTGTTGTTCCAGGAGGAACAGAGAGGGAGGGTGGCTGGGTCAGCACAGGCTGGGACAGGGAACCTGCAAACATAGACACTCACGGGTGATAGAGTAGAGACCAGGGTAAAGCTTCTCAGGATCTGAGCCACAGGGCCAGATACCAGCTGGAGGGCTTCCCTGTGTCCCTGAGGTCTGTCCCTACCTTTGCCGTGAGTGAGGAACATGAGGAGGACAGGAGTCCAGGCCGTGGTGACAGAGACACTGGTGCCCACAGTGGGCCGGGCTACCCCAGGCCTCCTTCTCTCCCCCACCCTCTGCCATTGGAGGGGCTCTCCATGCAAATGGGTCCACCCAGTGACTGCCCAGCCCCTCCCTGAGCCCTGGTGCTGGGGCTCAGCTCACAGACACACTGAGGAGGATGGGGGTTGGCTTCAGCCCAGGGGAGAGCCCTGGGAGGATGCACCTGCTGAGACCACCCACAGGTCCCTGCTCAGGGGACTCTGCCAGGCCAGAGAGGACACAGCTGCTGAGTCCCCATCAGGGAGCACAGGATGCAGCCTCCAAGCACAGGCTTATTTGCTTGAATGGTCCTCATTGAGCAGCTGTGGAGGGACCACAGGGCAGTTCCACAGCACCCCTTGCTGGTCACAGGTTACACACTCACCAAGGCCCTAAGCCCTCAAAGTCCAGTTGGTTTCTGCAGCTCACCAGGTCTGGGTCTATATTCACATCAGTGGTCTGATGCGTAGAAAGTGAGGCCCATGGTGCTGCCCATGAATACTGTTGCATGTTCCACTCTCAGAAGGAGTCCTGGCTTATGGGAGATGCAAACATTTACCTAAATTAAAACTTAAGTTGCTGGCAACCCAGAGAAGATAACTGCACCCATCATCTTCCTCCATTGGTCTGGGATTTAAAATATGCATGTTTTCAGTATTTTAAAACTCCTGTGCATTAAAGCAATGGGTTCCAACTACTCTCTCATGAATTGAGTTTTGTTTTAATCATCTATTTTTCAACTAATTTCATCATCTTACTAATTTACAAAGTAAAGGGAAAACAATGAATTTATTTTGATGAAGTACAATATCATTTTTTATTGTATAGATAGTGCTGTTGGTGTCTTGTCTAACCAAGTTTATACAAACTCTAGATCTTGAAGATTTTCTCCTGTGTTTTCTTCTATGCATATATAGCTTTATGTTATACAGTTATGTCTATGATCCTTTTAGTGCATTTTTTCATGAGGTGAGAATTTTAGGTGAGATTCATTTCCCCCTATGGATAGCCAATAGTTCTGTGGCTATTTCTCCAGGAGACTATCCTCCGTCCTCTGCAAGACTTTTGCAACTTTGTCAAAAGTACTTGTCCATACTTTCTTAGGTCAGTTTCTGGGTTTTCTGTTTTGTTCCATTGACCAATGTGTCTACCTTCCATCCATAACACTCTATCTTGTTGTGATAGGGGTTGAATTAGACTTTTACACAATTTGGGAAGAGTTGACGTCTTTACTATATTGAGTCTTCTCATCCATGAACAGAACATGCCTCTCCATTGTTTTAGTCCACTTCGGTTACATGTATCAGGATTTCAGCATCCATGGCTTGTACACATTTTGTTAAATATGCACCTAAAAATTTTGTCGTTGAGTGGTTTTAATGGTATTTTAAATCAGTTTTCACATGTTTATTGCTAGTCTATACACATTTAAATGATCTTTCTAGGGGTGCCTGGGTGGCTCAGTTGGTTAAGCGTCTGCCTTCAGCTCAGGTCATGATCTCCGGGTCCTGGGATCGGGCCCTGCGTTGGGCTCCCTGCTTAGTGGAGGGTCTGCTTCTCCCTCTCCCTCTGCCTTTCCCCTCCCCTTGTGCTCTCTCTCTCTCTCTCAAATGAATAATGAATAAATAAAATCTTTAAAAAATGATCTTTCTATGTTGATCTTGCATCATATGACTACACCTTCCTGAAATTACTAATTATTCCTCAAGTTCATATTTATATACCTATTTGTAGTTTTCCTTGTATTTTTCTGGTGGACCATTCTCACCCCTGAAAATAGGGACAATGTCTCTTGCTCTTTAGTCTTATGCCTCTCATTAATTTTCTTGCCTCATGGTTCTGTCTGGAGCATCCTGTCCTATGTAGAACAGCAGTGTTGAGATTGAACATCAATGCCTTGGTCCCGACCTGAGGACAGAGCTCTCAGTGATTCATCTTCATGTGTATTAGCTATCAGGACTTTATAGTTTTCTTTATCACACTGAGGCTGTGCTCCTCTAGTTTTCATTCTCTGAGAATTTTTATCCTATTCATTCAATCATTCACACTTATTATCATGAATAGGTTTTGAATTGTGTCATATGCTTTTTTCATATTGATTGATAAGATCATGGGACTTTTCTCCTTTAGCCTGTTAATACAGGAGATTACATTGATTGCTGTTTGAATATAAAACTGTCTGAATATAAAACCTTGCATCCCCACAATAAACCCCATTTGGTCATGGTATATACTCTTGTTATACTATACATAACTCAATTCTATTTTCTAATATTTTCTTTAGAATTTTTGGGCCTCTATTTGTGAGGGATATTCCATTTGTTTCTTTGTTTTGTGGCAGGAAGCTGTTGGTAACAGCTACCAACTGAAAAATTTAAAATCATTGTCTTAGCCAAATTCAGCATTTTGATCCACAAATGAGGAAGACCTAGTCATTTATTCAAGTTTTCTTTATTTCTTTTACAATGTTTTGTAGTTTTCCATGTATAAGACTTTCAGTTTTTCTAAAATATATCCTTAAGAATTTCATTATTATGGAATTATAAATGGCATTGTTTTTATTTTTTATTTTATTTTATTTTTTTTAATATATTTTTTTAAAGACCTTCATTTATCTATTTGAGAGAGAGAGAATGAGAGAGAGCACATGAGAGTGGGGAGGGTCAGAGGGAGAAGCAGACTCCCCGCCGAGCAGGGAGCCCGATGCGGGACTCGATCCCAGGACTCCAGGATCATGACCTGAGCCGAAGGCAGCCGCTTAACCAACTGAGCCACCCAGGCACCCCATTGTTTTTATTTTTAAATGTTGATGGCTTACTGCTTCTGTATAGAATACCATTCATCTCTGCATGTTGGTTTTGTAAGTGGAAGCCCAGATTGAAGCCCTTAGACTGGAAACATCTGTGAGCTGCCACCAGACCCAGAACTGGAATCAACACTGTTTGGCCTCTAACACCTCCTTTGAGTAATTTTTATTTCTGAGCAAGTAAATTTTGCCTTTGAAAACATGAACATGATGAGAATGTGTCATCATCTGTTTCCAGGAAAACAAAGGATCTGTTGAAGATCTGACAACTGAAGTCAACCCCTGAGCCACCTGACAGGTAATGTCACCAGACCCAGAGAGTGGAGGGGGATTTTGTCTCACTTCCCTGTGGGTCCAGAACATTGCATTATCTTGGCATATATGACAGTAATAGTCTCCTTGCCCTCATGCTGGAGTCCAGAAATGTCAGAATACCTGAACTGGTTGAAACATCTTTGGATCCAAAAAATGACAGGGAACCTGGCATCCCTGATGTGTATCTGACTCTGAGATGAATCTAGGAGATACTGGGGAGGGCTCCCTGGCTTCTCCTGGTGCCAGTATGCATATGCATACTGGCATATAAATATATATATTTACCATTAACGATGGACTTCTCAGAGTGTATGTGAGTCTGGCAGATTCTTCCAGGGATGCAGAGGAGGGTGTCTGAATCAGATACACAGGCTGGGAGAAGGAACCTGCAAACACAAACACTCACAGGTGATGGGGCAGGGATGGAGTTGAAGTTGTTTGGGTATCTTATCCAAAGAGGTTGACATAGGCTTGGGGGCTGCCCCAGATCACTGAATATGGTCCTCATCTGTGCAGTGAGAGGGGAACACAAGGAGGAGAAGCGTCCACAGCATGGCAGATACACACCTGCTGACACTCCACAGCAGGATCTGGGCTGCCTCAGGCATATGTCATCCCTTCGGTGGCCTCTGGGAGAAGGGGCTATTCCTCTACACTTGTTTCCCCTACTGGTGATCTGGTGATCTCTGCTCCACTCTGAAAGGAGTTGAGTTATGCACTCAGGTTTTAGACAGAGAGGGCTGGTGGGTGAGCCTCAGAGTTTGTCCCCTGGAGTGACTAGGGAAGAAATGGCTGCTGGGTCCTTCCACAGACCTGTGAACAGCCAGAGAGGACACACCTTCTGAGTTCCCACCAGCACACACAGGTACCTATAACCCAGCCCTGGGGAGTTTGGGTGATTTAAGGGAGATTACAAAGAAGTCACCCCCGTGCACACACTAAGGAAAGACCCACAGTGCCCCTTGCTGCCCACTGGCCAAACTTCAACCTCTCAGTGGATATAATGATAGGGGCACAGGCCTGAGAGCCTGGTCGCTGTGAGTCTTCCAATACCCATGGGCCAGAGTCCCTGCTCTGCCCTCAGGTAACTGATATTAATAAGCAGCCCTTCCCATTGTGGGAATTCCTAGAGTAGCAGAAGGGAGACATAATGGAAATATGACCCTGTACAGGGTGAGTGGGAATGCAGAGGGCTGGGAGCAATGGCCTGATCCCTCCTTCAGCAGGGCCATGTGAGGCGCCACTGGGGACCTGGTCTGAATGCAGGCAGCATGTCCTGCAGCAGGGCAATGAAAGCAACACCACTCCTGGAAAGGGGCAGGGTTCCAGATTAAGTAGCAGAGTGTGCAAATACTCACTAACATAGTAGCAGACACTCATGGTGGGAAAACAATTGCTACCAAGTGGCCCCTGTGTGGAAACAGCTGGACAATGAGGGTATTTGTGGATGGGTAGTAAGGAAGATATTTCTATATTGAAGAGATTGAAAGGTATGTATAATAATTTTATTGAGTGACCTACCATCAACTGCACATATTTAAAGTTTTCAACTGGATACATTTTGAGAGGTATAGAAACACATGAAGCTATCACCACAGTCAAGTTGATGATGTAGGGCTAAGGTCAGGCTGCCAGAGGATGGGCATCTTTGGCATGAACATTGTTTTGTGTTAAAAGCAATCACAACCCAATCAATCCAGGAAAAGCTCTTTACCGCCCCTCCTCCTCCACCAGCTGCACATCTGTCAAGAACAAGCTATTAACAGAGATATTGCTTTACCTAAGAAACATATCTGCAACGGGGCAAGTTTTGTTTTCCAAACATCTCCTTTCACCTTCCTGCTGAGGGTCATCCTCTCCTTTGTATACCCAGACCCTACCCACCTTAACTCAGGATGTCAGATAAGCCTCATATTGCCTAACTATCTTTGGAAGTTTGTGTGTGTTTGTGTGTATTCCCCATCAGTATGAAACTAAATTTGTTTTTTTTTTTTTCTTGTTAATCTGTCCCATGTCAATCTGATTCTTGGTCCAGCTAGAAGGATCTTTAATGGTAGAGAAAATACTTCCTCCCCGACAGTTGGTGTATGGGCAGGACATGTCAACTGCTGGACATATTTCACCCTGTATGCTACAGCTGAAATCCTGGGACAGCTGACATAGAGCCAGTGGAATGTAAGTCTTCTTACCATGTCAGCCTCCCGGAATCTCTGTCTGTGGAATCTGATGGAGAGGGAGTGGTGAGAAGACTTTTCTCTTTTTCTTAATTTAGATTTCCAGGAGGAAATATTGTGGAATTAGTTCCTTGGGCTTAGTGACAGTTTGGTTGAATTTGCTAGATAACTCTTTGGTTATTGATCCATCTCCTCCCAGAGTTGGTCTTTGTTTTCCTTTGCCTGTGTCTGTATGTCATGTGTCCTGAAAAGGCATTACCATAGGACAGAAGGGAGACTTAGGCCTTAAAAGCCTTCATTTGGGGCTGGTCCCACAGACTGTTGAGTTCCATGTTCTCATCAGACCGGCGTCTGTTTAGACACACTCTGCTGTGGCTCACAGCCTGTTGCTAAGCGACTCCTTGGAAGCCAAAGCCGCAAAAGTGGTGGCAGAGGTCAAGCACTTACAAGCTGTTTGAGTGCTTGCCATATTAAGAAGTCCCTAGTGTTGGTATCAGTTGGTCCAGGAACAGGTTAGGTCGGCACTAGGTCATCTGTCAACCTCAAGAAAACTTCCGTGCAACAAGGAACACTGTAAAGCACCGCACAGTCCCCAACCACAGGGCACATCCCTCCTAAGTATTGGAGCGGCTCCAAGACCAAGGCTGAGCCAGAAGAAAAACAGGAGGGCGATTTTTCTTTTTCTTGTTCTCTGTCCTCAAGGGGCTAGTTTGTGACCAGTAGAACATCCTCTCTGGTGTCCATCGTCCAGAGGGTGCTCTTACTGGGGTGCACTGGGTGGTCAGTTAAACCGACTGGGGACCGCTCCCTTGCCCCGTCTCTGTCTGTCTGTCTGTCTCTATATCTCTGCCATGCCAGCTCTCAGGAGGGTTTGCCATAAGACCTTGCAGCCCATAGGAACCTTATCAACCTCAATATTCATCGCTTCTGTATTGCTTGCCTGGTGTCACAGTTTAGTGGGTCTGTGACTGGAGGCATATGAAGATTTTTTTGGAGACTGGAGATAGCATTATCACTACATTATCTTTACTGTGCAATGAAGACCTTTGCTTTCTTAGATTACCTTGGGAATAAACTTTTAGCTCCTGGGGGCTGCATGCCCTCTCTGGATTCCTCTTTTGTCTTTGGTTAAGACATTAAAAGTCTTACTGGTTTGAGTCGCTATTAATAGATCCTACTTGTCAATGTGATGCTGGCAGGCTGAATCCAAGGATCCAGAGTGTGTCCCATAGGACCAGCCAAGAGGGTCTTTGCCTTTGAGAAGGGTGGAAATCAAACATGAGGCAGCAGGATATGGAAGGAGAGTTTATTGAAGATACAGAGAGAGCAGACAACAGACAGAGTGACTGTCTGGGAGACTCAGAAAGGAAAGGAGGAAGACTTGTCTTTTTGGGGTCTGGGTTTTTTTATGGAAGTTGGTGGTCTTGCGCATATGTCCTCTCATCCAGGAACTGGTTAGATCAAGGACAAGAACCCAGGTGTTATTCCTTAGAGCCAGGGGTCTTGGCATGGAGAGGCCTAGCACCTAGGTGGTCTGGAATGAGCATAGGATAGCTTCCTCTTATTTTTTCTCAGCTGGTCCTTCCACAGATGTTACCTATTCTAGAAAAATAATTAACCCCTTGTCCCTGACAAAGAGGACATATGGTATTTGCATTACAAGACATGTGAACAGTGGAGTCCAGGTGCAGGGCCTAGCAGTAATAGAAGCCTGATTAGAAGCAAAGGAAATAACCAACTTTATCTCTCATGATGTCCCTTTGATTTCCCTGTCTCAAATGGCCAGATAATGGATCTTTAATTTGGCTACATTTAAAAGCAAAATTTTCTTTACAGAGATCTCTCAATTGTCTTACTAGTAAAATGCTAAACTTAGGGGACTTCCTTGACGAGAAAAAAAAAAAAAGAAGAAGAAAGAAAGAAAAGAAGAAAGGAAGGAAGAAAGAAAGAAAGAAAGAAAGAAAGAAAGAAAGAAAGAAAGAAAGAAAGAAAGAAAGAAAAATAAAAGAAAGTAAGGAAGGAAAAGAAGGAAGGAAGGAAGGAAGGAAGGAAGGAAGGAAGGAAGGAAGGAAGGAAGAAAGAAAGGAAGGAAGAAAAAAAGAAAGGAAGAAAGAAAGAAAGACCAGAAATTAGACTTAAGACTGGAGTAAATGTTCACATCCAGTGTAAATTCCTTCTTAAGATCCAGCTTCTTCTGCCTGTTTTAATTCCCTTTCCCTACAAGATTTATAGGGAGTGTGTATCATATGACCTCACTGATATGAGGAATTCTTAATCTCAGGAAACAAACTGAGGGTTGCTGGAGTGGGGGGTGGGGTGGGAGGGATGGGGTGAATGGGTGATAGACACTGGGGAGGGTATGTGCTCTGGTAAGCACTGTGAATTGTGCAAGACTGTTGAATCTCAGATCTGTACCTCTGAAACAAATAATACAATATATGTTAAAGGAGAAGAAGAAGAAGAAAGAAGAAGAAGAAGAAGAAGAAGGAGAAGGAGAAGGAGAAGGAGAAGGAGAAGGAGAAGGAGAAGGAGAAGGAGAAGGAGAAGGAGAAGGAGAAGAAGAAGATGGCAGGAGGGGAAGAATGAAGGGGGGGAATCGGAGGAGGAGATAAACCATGAGAGACGATGGACTCTGAAAAACAAACTGGGGGTTCTAGAGGGGAGGGGGGTGGGGGGATTGGTTAGCCTGGTGATGGATATTAAAGAAGGCACGTTCTGCATGGAGCACTGGGTGTTATGCACAAACAATGAATCATGGAACACTACATCAAAAACTGATGATGTAATGTATGGTGATTAACATAACAATTAAAAAAGATTTATAGGGAGCACTCAGTTCTAATCTCTATATTCCAAGTATACAAATTGCTCATGTAAATGCTAAAAGCCAGGAAATAAATTTAACAAAACTTTCAGAGACTGGGAATAAGACTCTTTGCTCCTACCTTTCAGGGCTCTGTAGTCAGGCTCTGCCAGCCTCGGACAACGCTATGCCAAGTCCTTTGATGGTGTATCTTAGGCCCCTTACCACAAAAGACTCCCCCACCCCCGTAAACAGCTGATCTTTTTAATTATAAAGTCTTTTTATATCTACTTTCAAAAGATCCTCCAAATTTAGAGAGTAATTAAAAAGGTTATTTGACTATTCACAGCTACCCCTTCACAGAGAAAACAGAGGACCCAAACTTCTCCCAGGCCCTCCTCCAAATGATCTGTGAAAGGCCAATATTTAGGGGCTAATACAAGCCAAGGTTAAATTGTGTACTCAGAAAATAGGCTTTTGTTAATGTACTTTATGCAGACATTTCAAAAGCATAAATCTTGTTTTTAAAATTTTTAATTGAATTCCCCCAGTTAATTAACATATAATGTATTGTTGGTTCAGAGGTATAGGCCTGTGATTCATCAGTCTTATATAATACCCAGTCTCATTATATCACATGCCCTTCTTAATGTCCATCACCCAGTTACCCACTCCCCCCACCTCCCTCCCCTCCAGTAACCCTCAGTTTGTTTCCTATGATTAAGAATCTCTTATGGTTTGTGTCCCTTTCTGGTTTTGTCTTGTTATATTTTTTCCTTTCTTCCCCTATGATCCTCTGTTTTGTTTCTTAAATTCCTCATATCAGTATGATCATACGATAATTGTCTTTCTCTGATTGATTTATTTTGCTTAGCGTGATACCCTCTAGTTCCATCCACATCATTGCAAATGGCAAGATTCCATTTTTTTGATGGCTGTGTAAAATTCCATATACCATTAACATATCTCACATGTTCCCTATCCATTCATCTGTTTTAGGACATCTGGGCTCGTCCCATAGTTTGGCTATTGTGGACGTTGCTCCTCTAAACATTGGGGTGAAGGTACCCCTTCAGATCACTACATTTGTATCTTGGGGGTAAATACCCAGTAGTGCAATTGCTGGGTTGTAAGGTAGCTCTATTTTCAACTTTTTGAGGACCCTTCATACTGTTTTCCAGAGTGACTGCACCAGCTTGCATTCCCACCAACAGTGTAGGAGGGTTCCCTTTTCTCTGCATCCACCCCAACATCTGTTGTTTACTGATTTGTTAATTTTAGCCATTCTGACTGGTGTAAGGTGGTATCTCATTGAGGTTTTGATTTGTATTTCCCTGATGCTGCGTGATGTTGAACATTTTTTCATGTGTCTGTTGGCCATTTGGATGTCTTCTTTGGAGAAATGTCTGTTCATGTCTTCTGCCCATTTCTTGATTGGATTATTTGTTCTTTAAGTGCTGAGTTTCATAAGTTCTTTATAGATCTTCGGTACTAACCCTTTACGTGATATGTCATTTGCAAATATCTTCTCCCATTCTTTCAGTGTCTTTTGGTTTTGTCAACTATTTCCTTTTCTGTGCAAAAGATTTTTATCTTGATGAAGTCCCAATAGTTCATTTTTGCCTTTGCTTGCCTTGCCTTTGAAGACATGTCTAGCAAGAAGTTGCTGCAGCCGAGGTCTAAGAGGTTGCTGCCTGTGTTGTCCTCTAGGATTTTGATGGACTCCTGTCTCACATTTAGGTCTTTCAATCATTTTGGTTCTATTTTTGTGTATGGTGTAAGGAAATGGTGTCTTTTTTTCCATTGGATATTCTTTCCTGCTTTGTCAAAGATTAGTTGACCATAGAGTTGAGGGTCCACTTCTGGGTATTCTATTCTGTTCCATTGATCTATGTGTTTTTGTGCCAGTACCATACTGTCTTGATGATTACAGCTTTCTAATAGAGCTTAAAGCCCAGAATTGTGATGTCACCAGTTTTGATTTTCTTTTTCAACATTCCTTTGGCTATTCAGGGTCTTTTCTGGTTCCATACAAATTTTAGAATTATTTGTTCCAGCTCTGTGACAAATTTGATGGTATTTTGATAAGGATTGCCTTGAATGTGTGGATTGCTCTAGGTAGCATAGATATTTTAACAATATTTGTTCTTCCAATCCATGAGCATGGAACGTTTTTCCATTTCTTTGTGTCTTCCTCAATGTCTTTTATGAGTGTTCTGTAGTTTTCTGAGTACAGATCTTTTGCCTCTTTGGTTAGGTTTATTCCTAGGTATCTTATACTTTGGGGTACAATTGTAAATGGGATCAACTCCTTAATTTCTCTTCTGTCTCATTGTTAATGTATAAGAATGCAACTGATTTCTGTGCATTGATTTTCTATCCTGCCACTTTGCTGAATTCCTATATGAGTTCTAGCAGTCTTTTGGGTTATCTAGATAGAGTATCATGTCATCTGCAAAGAGTGAGAGTTTGACTTTTTCTTTGCTGATTCAGATGCCTTTTTTTCTTTTTGTTGTGTGATTGCTGAGGCTAGGACTTCTAGTACTGTGTTGAACAGCAGTGGTGGTAGTGGACATCTCCACTGTGTTCCTTACCTTAGGGGAAAAGCTCTCAGTTTTTCCCCATTGAGAACGATATTTGCTGTGGGCTTTTCATATGTGGCTTTTATGATATTGAGGTATGTTCCCTGTATCTCTACACTGTGAAGGGTTTTAATCTCTTATATGGTGGTGTACTTTGTCAAATGCTTTTTCAGCATCAATTGAGAGGATTATATGGCTCTTTTCCTTTCTTTTATTTATGTATTGTATCACATTGATTAATTTACAGATCATGAACCAAACTTGAAGCCCAGGAATACATTCTACGTGGTCGTGGTGAATAATCTTTTTAATGTACTGTTGGATCCTATTGGCTAGTATTTTGTTGAGAATTTTTGCATCCATGTTCATCAGAGATATTGGTCTGTAATTCTCCTTTTTGGTGGTCTTTGTCTGGTTTTGAGATCAAGTAATGTTGGCCTCATAGAAAAAGTTTGGAAGTTTTCCTTACATTTCTATTTGAAATAGTTTCAGAAGAATAGGTATCAGTTCTTTAAATGTTTGGTTGAATTCCCCAGGGAAGCCATCCGGCACTGGGCTCTTGTTTTTGGGGAGATTTTTGATTACTGCTTCAATTTCCTTCCTGGTTATGGGTCTGTTCAGGTTTTCTATTTCTTCCTGTTTCAATTTTGGTCATTTATACGGCTCTAGGAATGCATCTATTTCTTCCTGATTGCCTAATTTCTTGGCATATAATTCCTCATAATATGTTCTTATAATTGTTTGTATGTCTTCGGTGTTGGTTGTGATCTCTCCTCTTTCATTCATGATTTTGTTGATTTGGGTCATTTCTCTTTTCTTTTTGATAAGTCTGGCCAGGGGTTTATCAATGTTATTTATTCTTTCAAAGAACCAGCCCCTAGGTTCCTTGATCTGTTCTACTATTCTTTTGGTTTCTATTTCATTGATTTCTGCTCTGATCTTTATTATTTCTCTTCTCCTGCTGGGTTTAGGCTTTCTTTGCTGTTCTTTCTCCAGCTCCTTTAGGTGTAGGGTTAAGTTGTGTGTATGAGACCTTTCTTGTTTCTTGGGAAAGGCTTGCATAGCTATATACTTTCCTCTTAGGACTGCCTTTGCTGCATCCCAAAGATTTTGAAGAGTTGTGTTTTCATTTTCATTTGTTTCCATGAATTTTTTTAATTCTTCTTTAATTTCCTGGTTGACCCATTCATTCTTAGTAGGATGCTCTTTAACCTCCATGTATTTGAGTTCTTTTCAACTTTCCTCTTGTGATTGAGTTCTAGTTTCAAAGCATTGTGGTCCAAAAATATGCAGGGAATGATCCCAATCTTTTGGTACCAGTTGAGACCTGATTTGTGACCTAGGATGTGATCTATTCTGGAGAATGTTCCATGGGCACTAGAGAAGAATGTGTATTCTGTTGCTTTGGGATGGAATGTTCTGAATATATCTATGAAGTCCATTTGGTCCAGTGTGTCACTTAAAGCCTTTATTTCCTTGTTGATCTTTTGCTTAGATGATCTGTCCATTTTAGTGAGGGGAGTGTTGAATACTATTATTGTATTGTTGTCAATGCATTTCTTTGATTTTGTTATTAATTGGCTTATATTATTGGATGCTCACATGTTAGGGGCATAAATATTTACAATTGTTAGATCTTGTTGGGTAGACCCTTCAAGTATGATGTAGTGTCCTTCTGCATCTCTTATTATAGTCCTTGGTTTAAAATCTAATTTGTCTGATATAAGGATTGCCACCCCTGCTTTCTTTTGATGTCCATTAGCATGGTAAATTGTTTTCCACCCCCTCACTTTAAATCTGGACGTGTCTTTTGGTCTAAAATGAGTCTCTTGCAGGCAGCATATCGATGGGTCTTGTTTTTTTATCTAATCTGATACCCTGTGTCTTTTGATTGGGGCATTTACCCCACTTACATTCAGGGTAACTATTGAAAGATATGAACTTAGTGCTATTGTATTGCCTGTAAGGTGACTGTTACTGTATATTCTCTGTGTTCCTTTCTGGTCTATGTTACTTTTAGGTTCTTTTTGCTTAGAGGACTCCCTTCAATATTTCTTGTAGGGTTGGTTTGGTGCTGCAAATTCTTTTAGTTTTTGTTTGTCCTGGAAGCTTTTTATCTCCCTTCTATTTTCAGTGACAGCCTAGCTGGATATAGTATTCTTGGTGGCATGTTTTTCCTGTTTAGTGCTCTGAATATATCATACCAGTCCTTTCTGGCCTGCCAGGTCTCTGTGGATAAGTCTGCTACCACTCTAATCTTTCTACCATTGTAGGTTACAGACCTTTTGTCCCGAGCTGCTTTCAGGATTTTCTCTTTGTCTGTGAGACTTGTAAGTTTTACTATTAGATGTTGGGATGTTGACCTATTTCTGTTGATTTAGATGGGAGGTTCTCAGGACCTCCCGGAGTTTCATGCCTGTTTCCTTCCCCAAATTAGGGAAGTTCTCTGCTATAATTTGCTCCAGTATACCTTCTGCCGCTCTCTCTCTTTCTTCTTCTTGTGGGATCCCAATTATTCTAATGTTGTTTCGTCTTATGGTGTCACTTATCTCTTGAATTCTCCCCTCATGATCCAGTAGTTGTTTATCTCTTGTTTTCTCAGCTTCTTTATTCTGCATCATTTGGTCTTCTTTGTCACTAATTCTCTCTTCTGCCTCATTTATCCTAGCAGTTAGAGCCTCCATTTTTTTATTGCACCTCATTAATAGCCTTTTTGATTTCAACTTGGTTAGATTTTAGTTCTTTTATTTCTCCAGAAAGGAATTCTTTAGTGTCTTCTATGCATTTTTTTCAAGCCCAGCTAATATCTTTATAATCGTCATTCTGAACTCTAGTTCCAACATCTTACTAATGTCTGTATTGATTAGGTCCCTGGCAGTCAGTACTGCCTCTTGTTCTCTTTTTTGAGGTGAGTTTTTCTCTCTTATCGTTCTGTCCAGAGAAGAATAGATGAATGAGAGAACAAAATACTAAAATGACAACAACTACCTTAGAGCAATATACAGTAAAAAATCAGATGAGACCCAAATGGGGGTGGGGGGGAAGAGAGAGAGAATATAATCAGACAGGCGAGCAGAATAGAGCAATACACTGGATTCTGTGTGTATTTTCATCTGCTTTTTAGAAAACTAGATCCCAAAATTGTAAAGAAAGAAAACCTTATATATGTACAAACATTAAATACAAGGAAAGGATAGTATGTAGCTGTAAAAATGGAAATTAAAAGTGAAGAAAAAAGAGGGGCACCTGGGTGGCTCAGTCATTAAGCATCTGCCTTTGGCTTAGGTCATGATCCCAGGGTTCTGCGATCGAGCCCCACATTGGACTCCCTGCTCTGTGGGAAGCCTGCTTCTCCCTCTCCCACACCCCCTGCTTGTGTTCCCTCTCTCACTGCCTCTTTCTCTGTCAAAGAATAAATAAAATCCTTAAAAAAAAGTGAAGAAAAAAGAGAATAAAAAAAGAAAAACCAACAACAACAAAAAAAGGAAAGAATAAACAGACAGGTGAACAGAACAGAGCAATGCACTATCTCCTGAGTGTATTTTGGTCAGTTTGCTAGAAGAAACTGCATCTCAAAATTGTAAAGAAAGGAAAACATATATATACAAAAATTAAATTAAGTAAATTGAAAGGATAGAATGTAACTGTAAAGATGAAAATTTAAAAAATACTTTAACAAAACAAAAAACAAAAACAAAAAGAGAAAGGAAGAAGAAAAAGAAAAAAAAAAAGGAAAAATGACAACAAAAAAGAGAATATGATCAGACAGGTAAGTAAAACAGAGCCATACAGTAGATTTTGTTTGTATTTTGGTCTGTTAGAAGAAACTGCACCCCAAAATTGTAAAGAAAACAAAACTTGCGTGTGTGTGTGTGTATATATATATATGATTAAATATATTGAAGGGATAGAGTGTAACTGTAAAAATGAAAACTAAAAAATATTTAAAAAAGGAGTTGATAAAATAAGAAATTGGTTGAAAAGGGAACGAAAAAAATAAAGAATCATGGGGAAAAAGTTGTGATTTCTATGTGCTGTATTCCCCTAGCACTGGAGTTTTGCAGTTCTGTCTTGGCTGGATGTTCTTGCTGACCTTTTGGGGGAGGGGCCTGTTTCATCGATTCTCAAGGATATTTGCCCTGGGTGGAATTGTACTGCCCTTGCCAGGGGCCAAGCTAAATAATCTGCTTCAGTTTGTTCTATGTGGTTTTGTTCCCTGGAGGCATTCCTTGCAGCTTTAGAGGATGAGAATGAAAATGGCGGCCTCCCAATCTCTGGCCCCAGATTTGAAAGCTCGGGGCCCCACTCTTCAGTGAGCCTTCAGAGAAAAGTAGTCAATCACTCCTGTCTCCCTGGTCTCCGGGTGCACTCCGTGCTCACCTGGCCTGTGATAGAGCATTTCTATCTCAGGCATGCAACCCAGTTTTGAGTCTTCAAACCCTTCAGATTCCTGTAACACATTCTTGTACTGCTCGTCCTGGGGGAGGAAGGGGGGGTCTCATTGGTTCTGTTGCTTGTTAGGCCTGTGCTTGGAGAGCAGTCACCCAACTGTGCCATGGTTTGTGGTTTTTGTTAACCCTGAGCTGAGAGCCCATTCCTGGGCTCACTCTTTTCATCCAGCTTCCCTGTTCCGATCCCTGGGAACTCTGCGGCACTGAGGTACCCCTGGTCTTCCTGTGACCCTGGGGATCCTGGGACCACATTGTCCCAGGGAGGGTTCCACCCCCGCTTAGCAGCCTGAGCGATGTCCCTCACAGGGGCAGACTTCCAAAAGTTCTGATTTTGTGCTCCGCTGTTCTATTACTTGCTGGTAGCCGGCTAACAGAGGCTCCCTCCCACCACACTCTATCTTCCCATATATCGCCTCGGATTCATTTCTCCACACTTCCTACCTTGCTGAAAGTGGTCACTTTTATATTCATAGTGTTGAAGCTATTCTTTTCTTAGATCTCTGGTTGAGTTTGCAGGTGTTAAGAATGATTTGATAGCTATCTAGCTGAATTCCTGGGACCACAAGGAGATATCACCCCATACCTGTCAGAATGGCTAATATCAAAAATACAAGAATCAATAATTGTTGCTGAGGATTGAAAAAGGACCCATCATACACCATTGTTGAGAATACAAACTGGTGCAGCCACTGTGGAAAACAGTATGGAGGTTCCTCAAAAAATTAAAAATAAAATTATGAGGGGCACCTGGCTGGCTCATCAGTGCAGCATGAGACTCTTGACCTTGGGGTTGTGAGTTCAAGGCACAGGTTGGGTGTAGAGATTACTTAAAAATAAAATCTCAAGAAATAAAATAAAATTATGATATCATCCAGTAATTCCACTACTGGCTATTTACCCAAAGAATATGAAAACACTAAATCACAAAGATGTATTCACCCCTATGTTTACCACAGCATTACTTACGATAACCAAATTATGGAAGCAACCCAAGTGTCTATTGAGAGATGAATGGATAAAGGATAAGTGGTATATATATAAAATGGAATATTACTCAACCATAAAAGAATGAAATCTTGTCATTTGCAACAACATGGATGGATCCAAAGGTATATTGCTAAGTGAAATAAGCCAGTCAGAGAAAGACAGATACCATATGATTTCATTCATATGTGGATATTAAGAAACAAAACAAATGAGCAAAGAAAAAAGGGAGCAAACAAAAAACCAGACTTTTAAATATAGAGAACAAACTGGTGGTTACCAGAGGGGAGGTGGATAGGGGGATGAACGAAATAGGTGAAGGGGATTAAGAGTACACTTATCATGATGAGCACTGAGGGATATATAGAATTGTTGAATCACTATATTGTACACCTGTAACTAATATATCACTGTATGTTAACTATTGTGGAATTCAAACTAAAAAAATAATAACATGGGACTGAGTAAACTAAGGAAGATAATGATAATTTTATGACTTTTTGTTTAAATCATTGCAGACTCAAAAAACCTTTGTTTTTCCAGATTTAAGAAAGTTTTATCTGAAGCTAACTGATTTACAGCAATTTGACAAATAAACCTTTGTGAATACATATAAACATTTATCTTTTCTCCTTACCGGATCCCTCCAAACTTCAGAAACTCTCAGTAAATATGCTTATATTTTTTATGGCAATGTATTTCTTATTTCAAAAAAGAACATGTTCTCCTTGTAACAGGACACAGTTTGCTGGAATGTCACATTTGAGAGAGACACACATAGACTCAGATATGACCAGATAGCTTTAAGAAATAAGGCTGACCTTATGAAGCCAACAAAGCCCTTGGAAATATCAGCCTCATACCTTGTTTACAGGGATCCCAGCAGACTCACCAGAGAGTAAAGAAGGTCACTCCTGGCAGGTGCAGGAACCTCAAGATATTTTGAGAACCTCAAGAAGGGAGGAATTCACCCAAATATATGGGTATCAAAGAGGAAGTCTGATGGCAAGTATTTGGCCTTAAGAGGCTATGAAACATTTAATCTAGATATTCCTTATAAAAGTTCTAGCAAAGCAGGTTTTAAGGAACATATATGGTCAACTACTATTCTTGTTGGAGTTATGTAAATCATCAGCCTGTTTTTTTTTTTTTAATTAGACTTATTTTACAAACACTTGGGTATTAATTTGGCTATCTTTGGTAAAAATAAGGGCAATTATAAAGAAAAATATGCTTCAATAACACACCTTTGTAAATATTATATTTTAATATTGATCATTATAAACTGGACTAGATCCTGCATTCTCCTAGTGTCCCCCAGTGCCTGGCTACAACACTTCAAGATAACATTTTTTAATTGTTCTCTCCCTTTCTGACAATTGGAATCATTTGATACACCAAACGTCCCCTTTTTCCTGAAGCCCTGCAAAATGAATAGAAATGACTTGATGTAAACTTCAGAGAAATCCCCACAAAAGTTCATGTATAGACAATTTTCCTGCTTGTTGCTCTGTGGGCCCCTCAAAAAGATCACTAGACCACTACTGGCTAGAGACAACTGAACTGAAACTAGGGAAATCCATCACATTGCCACCGCATGCCCTATGCCATCTGAAGATGCCTCCAGCCCAACATCAAGAAATCTCACTGGCAGCACTCCGGACTTAGACACTGGGTTTAGGATTAGCTCCAACCATTCACCTACACTTTTCCTTGGTTTCCATAAGAAATGCCGCTTCTCAATTACCATAGGGCTTAATTGTGAGAGCCCACCTGCATCACTGCCTCCTGAAATAAGCTTAACCGAACGACCTATTGTCAGATTAAGAGACAGGTTCCCCAAGAGGGAACGATCTACTGTGGTGAATGGGTTAGTGAATCATATAAAAAATATAAGAATACTTATGGAGAGTTTCTGAGTTTGGAGGGAATCCAGTAGGGAAAAAAGATAAAAGTTTTAATTTGTTTACAAATGTGTATTGCTCTAAGTCAGTTAGTTTCATATAAACAATTTTCTTAAATCTGGAAAAACAAAATATTTTTAAGTCTGCAATGTTTTAAACAAAAAGTCATAAAAATGGTCATCATCTTCCTTAGTTTATTAGTCGCATGTCATTAATTCTTCTGCTAGAAGCCAGTGTTCCCACAAGCTCCGGGAATTCTTACCTAGCTCAGTTCTATGATCTTAAAGTCATCAGAATCTGCACTCAGAACTCTTTCTGCTCATGGCCTCTGATGGCTCAGAATCCCTTGCTGTGCCTCTCACTGAAGACTGTCTCTTACTGTCTCCACTGCTCAAGGCCCTACCGGAGTGAAGCGGGGTGTCAGCAGCATCCCCAGTGCACGGAGCAAAAGGACAAAGGACCCAGTGCACCTGCGCCCATGGACTCTCAGTGTGGGACCTGAGAAAGTTGGTCTCTCCCTGTCTGTCTGTGTATCTCTGTCCCTGACTCTCATCCCCACCTCCTTCCTCTGTCAGCTGAGCCTATGTCCACACTCCTGGTGGGGAAGGGCACAGGCTCACTCTACCCATGACTTTGGTCTGTAGCTCAGGTGTGCTGTGTAATTACTAGGTCTTATAAGTAGAAAACCTTTATTTTCCAAAGTTTCCTGTGTTGTTCCTGAAAGGTGTCTTGCAGTCATAATAACAACCACAAGGGTGGGTCTAACATTGCTTATGGAGCGGCTGAGACCTGCACAAAACATGAACGTTCCTGAAGGGAGAATGCTGGTTCCTGCCATCTGTGACCATTGACTTCATTGTTCAATTGCAGTGTGTGGCCCAGAAACATCACATTACTGACCACTCACCCCATGGGACACAGATCAATCAACTGGAGTATAGGGCTCATGCGTGGTTTTCTTTGTCTCTGGACTTACAGGCTCCCCTCCTTTTCAAAGTCCCTGGGGTCAGCACCTTTCTGCCCCACCCCTTCAGTGAGGTGGGTCCAAACCTCTGTAGAGCAGCAGATGGGATAATGTCACACTGTGCACTCCATCATGGACCCCAGACTTCCTAGATGACTTTATAGGCATGCAGTAATGTGCTATCCCTTTGCTGTAGCGTTTACCGACCTGTGGCAACACAGCAGTGTGCTGTGACTGCCTTCACAGTGTCCTGTACAAGAGTGACACCACCATAAATATAATCACTATGATTCACACATTCACCCTCCTCCTCCTCCCTCCACCTCCTGTCAGTCACTAACCTCATTACCACCTCTCAATTCTGGCCTCTTCCAAAATGTAATACAATTGCAATTTTATGGAATGCAGCCTTTTAGAGCTTCTTCTTTCCTAATATGCATTAAAAATTTATTTATATTACTGTGACTTCAGAGGTCCTTACTATTAAATTCGGACTAATATCCTAGTGTACAGATGCACAACATATTGGAGGACACCTGTGGCAAGGCAATCTTTGGGGATTATGTAAAAAGCTGTTATAAACATCCATGTGCAGAATTTTGATTGCTGTTGGGTTTGGTGATTCAAAATAAAGCTGCTATAAGCACTCACAAGCAGGATTTTCTCTGGAGAGAAATGTTTTTATTTATCTGTTATAATTTGTAGTCTGAAATCTTTTCATGTATTCCCTACAAATATCAGAAAATAAATAAAACCAGTCCTCTGGTTAAAGTTAAGCAAATAATAATGTAAAACGCAAAGAGAACTGATGAATCCATCAAGCACAAGGTTTGGTCCCTGGGAGATGGCACCAGACCTCCCCTGACCCAGCCCCTCTCTGCTGGTTGACCAGTTCCCATTCCCTCCTCCAGCCTCAAGCATCTCCCCGACCTCCTCACTAGAGCCTGATTTCTCCTTCTTTGAGAAGTTCAATGACATCAAAAGAGAATCCCTCAAGCTTTGACACCCACCTTGGGCTATTGGATTATTTGAGGTTGGACGAAAAACAATTTACTCTACTCCATTTATTTATGCCCTCTTTTTTATTTATACCTGAATTGTGCAGATATTAACCTATAAGTTTCTGACTATAAATTCCTTCTCGATATTTATGTTTTTTATTTTGTGGATTCATATGATCTATTACTGAAATATTTTCAATTACATTTTTACAAGTTATAGAAATTATCGGGTATTTATTCTCCTTATTAAGAGCCAGAAATTCAGGCGCCTGGGTGGCTCAGTTGGTTAAGTGACTGCCTTCAGCTCAGGTCATGATCCCAGGGTCCTGGGATCGAGTCACGCATTGGGCTCCCTGCTCTGTGGGGAGCCTGCTTCTCCCTTTCCCACTCCCCCTGCTTGTGTTCCCTCTCTCGCTGTGTCTCTCTCTGTCAAATAAATAAATAAAATCTTTTTAAAAAAAAAAGAGCCAGAAATTCATAAAATGTATCATTTCCCATTGCAGGAAGGTGCTGCAAATGTTTGTTACTATCTGAAAGAGCACATGTTAAAGGAATCAGTAGGATGTGACCAGTGCACTAACAAAAGTCAGGGATATTGACCAGAGGATAATTCTTGTTGAGTGGTTAGGGGACAATCTAAGTGAATCCTTAGGGAAGAAGCTTGCCAAAGACCATCAGTCCTCCCCAAGATATGTGGGTCTACACCACCTCTGAGCTCCCTGTGTGAGGAAGGAACTCAATGAGGATGCTTGGGAAGACACATGGACCTTTAACAGGACATCTGTTTTCTTGGGATGAAGCACCTTGTCTCTATGAGGGCGTTATTTCCATACATCTACTACACATGTGTCCCCTCTCTGCTTCTGGTCTTGGACAAAAGCATGTATGAGGAGAAGGTGAGGACAGGAATAAGGAACAGATTCTCAGGAAGGACTTAGAGGAATGTGGTCCAGCAAAGGGCTCTACATGGGCAGGTAATTTAAAGGGAACGGTTCCCTTGCAGAATCCAAAATAAAGGGTGGGATTTCCTCCCTCTCTTCTGAGAATGACAAGTGTAATAGAGTGGGGAGAAATAGATCAATTACCGTGATGTGCAGGAGCTCAAGGTTTTGGGGACGCCCTGGAGAGGAGAGAAGGTGAAGCAAAGGACAGGGGGAGGGAGGAGAATCTGAGTCAGAAAGAAAGGACCCCATCTGCCAGTTTTACCATGGATTCCCCATACAGAACCCCTGCCCCTCTACAGAGGAACTGTCTGAGGAAGCTAATAAATGTGGTGGAATGAATGGCTGAGGGTTTGATGAAGCTGAATGGGCACAGAGAACCTGTGGGAAGATTAGTCCAGTTTTAGCTCAGGCCACTCAGCTCAGAGAAGGTCTTGTGAGCTCAAGCACCTGTTGACTGTCCCCCACATCATGAGTTCCAGTTTGGGGGAGATCCACCTCCTCAATCCTCTCAGGATACCCCACAGACCTTCTTCTCATCAGAAGAGCCCTTCCCCCCAGGGTCCCTGACATTTGGTCACCTGGACAGGAGCCTTCCATGGTGCTGACCTTTCTGCTACTGCTCCTCCTGCCTCCAGAGTGGGAACAGGTGACAGTTCTGGAATCCCACATGGAGTGGGGCTGGGTGGGTGGCAACTCTTGCAGGTGGGCACAGGGACTCCTCTCTGAGCTGCACATGGGTAGCAGGCAGAGTTCTCACATGGATTGTATGTTGCAAATTAACATGGAACCATGTTTGAAACAGGACAACATAGCCTCCGGAGGGCCTTTATGGAACCTGGGGATACTGAGTCTTGCTCACTCTTCCCCCTTCATTCTTGAGAATAGAATCAATCATGCAAACATGATGCTGCCATTCCCTGTGTCCATTCCCCACCTACCTCTGGGTGGATGATGGTTCTGGTCACAGGGTGAAGGAGGACACAACCAGTGTTCCCTGCTGACTGAGGGAGGACATGCATCCATCCAGGTTCTCCATATGGTCAAAAGGGTCATAGTGCAGGAGAATCATACCTGGCTTGGGGGATCATTGCTCCTTGTCCCACTAGAGCCGGCTCCGGGCCCTGGAGGGGTGGGCATCAGTGTCCACACTCTTGTTAGGCACACAGCACACCCTTGTGGCCAAAGCATCACAACCTGTATTTACATTACACAGCTGGCACTAGAAGCAGGTAACCTGCTTCTGATATCTTCTCTTACACCTGCAGAGGGAAGACTGGGTGTTGGGACCAGGGATTCCCCAGATCTCCTTCCTTCTGTCCTGCTTCATCCACACCGGACCTGCCACTCCCAGTGCATGAACTTCAGAGCAAAGACACTCTGTGTCCTAACCTGATGGGGGATGTCCTTTCTGTGTGTTTTTAGACACATTGTCTAGGGAAGGGCTGCTGTAAGTGACTTTGAGGACAGGAGGGAAGGAGGAGCCCTGACTCCCAGGTGGTGCCCTGGATGGACTTGGCCCCATGATGGCAGCAGCAGGAGCACCAGAAGCAGAAGCCACAGGCCAAACTCCTCCTCCCCGCAGATGAGAAAGGGGTTCTGCTCCCAATAATCACAGGTCTGGGGTTCTGTGTGAGCCCTGAGAATGTTGTCACAGGAAGGGCTGTGACGAGCAGCCCCCTCCTCAGACCACAGCCCAGTGATGATCAGGAAGCCAGAGTCACCAGACATGGAGCCAGAGAATGGACCAGGATATCCAAAGGGTCCAACCATTATAATAGGTGAGGATTTGGGATTCCATTCATGGGAGCTGTTGGTACCAGGACACATATTGTACACCCCTGATGTGTCATGTCTCAGACAAGCCTCGATTCTGCATGCCTGTCTCAGTCTTGACCTGTCACGAACTCTTCACCCCATGGTAGCCTGACCCTGACACAAAGGAATGTCTGCTTAATTTGAGAAAATCATATAATATATTCACGTCAAGGACAGACATTGGAAGCTGAATTTAAGAGAATGGGAACAGGTTTTGTAGACAGAGGCCATAGAATGTGTTTCAGACTGCAGCTTATACCAGCAAACAAAGGAATCAGCTGACAGCCAAGATGTAGGGGTTTCACAGGAAACCCTATTGCCAAGGGGACACCAAGTTTTTGTCTCACTTCCCCACAGGCCTGGAGCACTGTGTGAGTATTGAGATTGCTATCATAGGACTGGCAATAATACTCAGCCTCGTCCTCAGCCTGAAGGCCGGTGATGGTCAGGGTGGCTGAGCTTTCTGACTTGGAACCAGAGAATCGATCAGGGACCCCAGAGTTTCTGCTATCATCATCATAGATGAGGAGAATGGGTGCCTTTCCTAGGAGCTGTTGGTACCAGTTCACATAATGGTATGTGAACTCTCCATCATAATCCGTGCTGGTGGGGATTCCAGTGCAGGAGATGGTGACCCTCTGGCCCAGAGCCCCAGACACGGAGGGCGGCTGAGTCAGCACAGACTGGGCCCAGGACCCTGCAAGGGGGAGAGACACAGACAGGGTGATGCTGGGTTCTAGAGACAAGAAGAGGAAGGAGGGCCCTTCATGTCCTCCCAGGGCCCCTTCCCCTGTCCCTGCATCCACTCACCTGTGCAGTGAGCGAGGAAGCTGAGGAGGAGAGGGGACCAGGCCATGGTGGAGGTCATCACCGATCCTGCCTTCTGTGGCCCCACAGCTGAGCAGAGCCTCCCCTAATCTCTCCCTTCCCCTCTTCATCCACTGCGAGAGGGAGGGCCTGTCCATGCAAATGAGAGCCCCAGCTCTTTAACACCTCATTGGTCCTGGGTCAGGTTCCTCTCCCTGAAGATGTCGGGGGATAGGCAGAGGAAGGACTCTGTGGGGCCAGGGGGTAAGGAGGTCACAGTTCTGAGGCCTGAGCAGAGGGCACAGAAGTGTCAGGTGGCAAGTCTCAGCTCTGATCACCCCTGACCCCACAGAAACTGGCTTTGATCACCCCCTGGTGTCAGATCCAGACATACCTTTGTGTGAAATGGTGACCAGAGCCCATCAGACACGACTCTTGCCTCCCCACTGCTCTGATCACTGTCCCGTGCATTAGAGCCACGTTAGATGTCCCCTTATGTGTCCTCACGTCATATCAGGGCAGTCTTTATGCTCTACTCAGACTCCTCAGGGTGAGTGTGTCCACAGCTCCTTGTCTGTTCTTGGGTCAGAACTGAGATGGTGTCTCTACAGAAACTCCTCTAGATCAGGATCCAGTGCAATGCAATGACAGACCCCAGGGACACATGGTCCCTTCTGTGCAGGATGCTGGGTCTTTCTTATAATGTGACTCCTCCCTTGTTTCTGGAGCTCTCCCTCCTGAAGGTTCCCACAGCACTGAGGAGACAGGGAATGATTCTCTCCAGGTTGTGTGTAGACGTCCTTGTGTGCATCACTATAGGGTTACACACTGAAATTATTTGTCACCTGTCACTGTTTCCACCTCTTAGGCTCTGATCTCCTAGCACACAGACACAAGT